GAAATGTTGCCGTCACCCTTTACCTTACTACAATGAACAGCTGTAATCCTTCTGCTTGGGGAGAAACTAAGCATCGAGTGGTGTTCAGTGGCCACGAGAAATTGTCAGTGCACAGCTTAATGTCACGCTGAATCAGGTGATAAATCCTTTACGTGGCTCTATCAGGTGTAACTGCGCTGCTGAAGAAGAGTTTTCATTCTGTGCTCAGGCTGGGCTCTAAAAATGTTTGTCAGAACTCAGGAAAGAGCTATTTATGCTTTGTTATTTTTAAACTGTAGTACCTGGCTCTGAAGAGATTTTGTTGTGGTTAGGCTTTTTCAGAAAGTCAAAATAAACCAAATAAACCAGTTTGGTTAGGTTTCAAAAATAGAATACACGTGTAAATCAAAGTGCTGTATTTATTGTCTCTGCAGTAGGAATGACTGTTCAAATAGACACAAATTATAGCCTAGATTTTTAGTTTTTAAAAAATGTGTCCTCTTTTTGGAGCTCAAATAATGCTTATTCAGACTGGGTTTTTATTCCCTGTGCAGGTGGCATTCATCAGTTTAGCATCTCCACATTAAATTTATGAAATATTATTCTAAAATTATTTTCATGCTTTGATATTCTCAGTATCCAGTGCTACCCCAGCTGATCTGGTGCATTTGTCTTGTGCTCTTTGAAACTTCAGAAAGGAGATTTACCCAGGTTCTCAGTCCTTTCCAAAATTATCTGGAATTTAACTGCTATTCCTCCAACACATTCCCCGCTATGGGGAAAAACCAGTTACAGTCACCAGATAAAATAAATTTGTACCTGTCAGACCCAACAGGGAGGGAGCGCTTTGAAGCCACGTGCCTTTAGGGATATTTTCTGTTTGCTTTTTCTCAGTTATCTGTGCAAACGAGGTGTGGAACAGCAGAGGACCCCGAGGATTGGCTGGGTGATGGGAGAATTGGCTGGGAGCAGGACCTGCACTGGGCAGCTCGGGTTTCACACCAGGAGAAAGGGAAATCTTGGGCAAAAGTGCTGCAAAAGAGAATCCAAATGTAAAATTATCAGTGAGGAAGGGCTGCTGTAACTTGGTTTTTTCAGTAGGAGATTGTTGTTTACTGTTCGTAGAGCTGCACTCAGAATAATTTAATTACTGCAAGGCTTAATGAAAAGCTGTTTCAATTTATACTCTGAAGTGCTCCCACACAAACTGGTATTGAAAATCTACATAACTGATATTTTCATCCAACATATTTATTGTTAATTTTATAGAAAGACACCCAAGAACCATACAAGTAGGAACATCTAATAGATTATAGTAAGGAGATTATAGTTTTATAATGGTTCTTGGGTGTTTTTCTATTTTCACATGGAAGAGAGAGATTTGGCTTCCAAGATTTGGCAGAAAAGCTGCTGGACCCCAACAGTAACCACCTCTGGCTGGATATGAACAAAGTAAAAAATTGATGATTTATTCAGGACAAAGCAACAAAAATCATAGTTTTCATTTCAGCAAAACAAGTTAACTGCACTGTTAACAGCTTCATATATGAGGTGTCCTGTTGTTGTAAGGTAATTTATGCAATTTAAATTCTCAATGCATGAAAAACCCAAACTAAAAATTATATTTCTACTCCTTTGAACACTTTAGTGACACAGGGAAATAATAAAGCCTTTCAGCTGGATGATAAAATATAAATAGTTTCTGCATCATCATACACATAAGAGATGCCTTATTTGGCTTCTCTTTTAGGTTGCTCATGCTGGATTTGTTCGAGGCACTTTCTTCATGGGCTCTGTATGCTGGATTTCTTTTGTATCTAACCTGACCTAAACTTTTTCCTAAGTAATTAAAAACAAACAAACAAAACAACAA